CCTGACCCTGGGGCCATGAATTTCACAATTTTGGAAGAGGCACTCTTGCTCATCATAACTATGTACTTAATTACCTTATTTAATACCCAGGAGCAGAGAAGAAGATTTTCAAAGAAATAATGCACTTTCACTATATGATCTATATAGCCCCACCCTGGGGCCAGAACCCCTGACCCTGGGGCCATGAATTTCACAATTTTGGTAGAGGGCTCAATGCTTATTACAATGATGCCAACAGTTTGACTGCTTGATGTCCAGGAGTAAAGAAGAAGATTTTTAAAGATTGCATTATTTTTGGTGGTTTTAGCCCCACCCCTCAGGCCCCAGGGGGGGCAGGGACCATGGAATTCTCAATTTTTGTTCCCCTTCACCCATAGATGCTATATGCCAAATTTGGTTGAAATTGGTTAAGCGGTTTCAGAGAAGAAGCTAAAAATGTTCAAATGTTAACGCACGACGCACGCCGACGGACGAGAACGGATAGCAATAGGTCACCTGAGTGACTCAGGTGACCTAAAAATATGGAATAGTAAAGTCAAGGTCACAGGGAAGGTTAAGGTGAAAAAAATTATGCAACAGTTGAATAGTTCTCATCAATATGTATCAGTGTATGGATTTTGATTAAAATTTCTTGAACTGTTTCTTTGAATTTGAGTTAAATGCAAAGTGTGATCGATGGACAGATGGAAAGTCAGGACAGAAGGATGGTGGAGTGTTTAAAGGTCTGGACCCCCTTGACCCATCCTTTAGATACCTGCTTGTTAATGTGTATTTCTGCAATTGTAGGATTAAAGAACAAAAGGCCCATCGACCCTAATAAAATATAACGGGTTACTTTAGGGACTGGCAAATTTAGTGAATTTATCTTTAAAACAGTCATTTATTATTGGTGAAATAAATTTATAGCAATTTTGGGAAAAACTTTATTTATTTTCTATGAAAATATTTCTGATTTAATTATTAGCAACATTTATTATTAGCACTGACAAGACCATCACTAATAATGCTAAAATTATATGGTCGCTAAAAATTCCCTTAATACAGTAATCTCCTGAGTATCATGCATTTCTCAAGCTTTGGCCATTTTGGCCTCATTTGGCTGTGACAAAACTTTTTACAGTTTGGTGAAGACTATAATCATTCTTATAATGTTTCCTAGAAGGTCAGGAGTAAAACATAGGTAATCAAAGATTATTAAGCTTACCTTGACAATTGTTATCTATAAGTAGGCAAATCTCACACAATTTTTTTTTTAGTTAGTATGCATCCCGAGAGAGTATCTATGCAAGTTTGGTTTTAGTAGGACTTTTACTTCTTGGGAATAGATCTGCTTCAAAAAATTAAACCTGTTCACTCATCTAGAAAATGTAGGTCAGTTCCAGCATCCAGAGCAAGTCTGATAGTGTCTATACCTAGATGCATCATCAATGCAAGTTTAATCATAACAGGCCATATAGTTATAGAGCTGCTCCAAAAACATTACCCTGGTCACTCTGACATCTGGAAAATGTAGGTCATATTCAGCATCCAAAGCAAGTCATGTAGTGTCCATCCCTTGATACATTATCCATGCTAGTTTAGTTCTGATGAGGATAATATTCACTCTTCTGGAAAATGTAGGTCAGATCCAGCATCCGAAGCAAGTCTTATAGTGTCCATCCCTAGATGCATCATCAATGCAAGTTTGGTCAAGGAAGGGCTTATAGTTATTTGGGAATGAACTTAAACCAGGATGTTGATGCCAAGGGTATAGTATAAGCTCATCTTGACTTTGTTGAGGTAAGCTGAAAAGTTACCTAAAGGTACACAGTATATATGATTTAAATTTCAAAATAACTTAGCCCCACCCTGGGCCCAGAATCTGGAGCTGGGGGGCCATGAATTTTATATTTTTGTAAAGGATTATTTGATCAGTATAATCATGCAAACAATTTGCCTGCAACATGTCCATGAGTAAATGAATATTTTTTTTTAAAGATCATAGATGTAATTTCTATTCAATATATGACCAACTTACCCCACCCTGGGGCATGAATCTTGGGTCAGGAGCCATAAATTTTGGTAGAAAGCTAAGGCCAAACAAAAAAATATGTTTGTTTACTGTTACATGCTGAAATAAAATAGGGTCGGTAGGTAGGATTTTTTATTTATTTTATTGAATTTTTTAATACACAAATTCACATGAATTGGTTTAAATACAAAACAGTTTTACCATTATGTGGTGCTTTTTGTTTCTAGTACTTTCAATTCCCATTTCAAATGCTTGACTGATTAAGATGCATGTAAAAGTTAAACTGACCAGCGAGTGACTTCGGGATTTTTATGACAGAAAAAAATTTGAGTTGTAGATTAAATATAGGGTCGGTCGGGTAACCGTAAACAAACATATTTTTTTATTACGCCTAATTATTATTGATTATCAATGAGTAAAGAAGCTTTTTGTAGTTGAAATGTATTTCCAATATATAATCATAATCAACATAGCCCCCCCCCCCCAAAGCCTCCTGGAGCCTATGGAGCCTAAGGGCCATGAATAAGAATTTCGCAATTTTGGTAGGGGGCTATATGTATAATCATGGAAATAGTTTGCCTGCTAAGTGTATCATTTAAATATAAATAAATCAGTATAGAAAAAGATTTTCAAAGATGCAATGTATTTTCAATATATAATCAACAAAGCCCCACCCTGGAGCCAAAACAATTTCAATTTTAATCAAAAGTTGAGGGCCGCTACTGATTATAATCATGCAGAAGTTTTCCAGCTACATGTCCTTCAGAAAAGAAACAATTTTTTTCATAGTTTTTTCATGAGTTAAGATTTTCAAAGTTGTAAAGCATTTCCAATAAATGGCCAACTTAGCCCAACCCTGAAGCCTGACCCATGGGTCTTGGGCCATGAATTTTACAATTTTGATAGAGGGCCAAGCGTTTATTATTATATGGAAATAGTAATGCCTGCTAAATTTTAATGAGAATACAAGGTGTTCAAAGCTGTAAGGTATTTTCAACATGTTCAATATAAATGAAGTCCTACCCTATGGCCTGAACCATAGACCCAGGGGCCATAAATTTCACAATATAGGTAAAAGGTCAAGTTTTCACTATAAATAGAGTAAACAGTTTGCCTGCTAGATGTCCAACAGAAAAGAATTTAAAATTATAGGATATACTGCATTTTTAACATGACCTTATCTCCACCCTGGAGCCTGAATCCAAGGGCATGATGAGGTAGAAGGCTCATTGCTTAGGCCAAAATAAAATTATTGTTTGTTTGGAATTGCCTCCCGCCTGATTGAAATGACCCCTCCTGGAAAAATTTTATTGACTAAAAATAAGATTTTTTTTTATTCAATCAATATTCTTGGCCTGTTATCACATGTGCCACCCAATCACTTAAAGTACCGGTAAGTGTCGGATCTAAGCAAAACTGGGTTCCTTGTTGATGGGAGATACCCTTTACAAAAAGGCAGAAAATAACGTGTTCACTGCTTATTGAGATTTTTATCATAAATTTTTAATTTTAAATTAAATTTTGAAAAAAAAATAATTTCCCTCCCTCCTGGGTCTGAAACCTACCAGGCGACAATTCCAAACAAACAATTTTTTAAGGATGGCCTTATCACAATCATTCCCAGGAGTAAAGAAGATTTTTGATTGCATTAATTTTAATGGTTTTGGCTTCACCTCTCATGCATCAGGGATGCAGAGACCATGACAAAAAACACATTTTTCCCCCTCTTTGCTAATAGATGCTCTATACCAAAGTAATTAAGCCATTTTAGAGAATAAGCTGAAAATGTTCAACAGATGACAATTGATAAAACAGATACATGTAGCAATAGATTATTGTTTTACAAGTAGTCACAACTTTTAAATGGAGAAATGAGGAGTGTCCTGATTCTAACCTTGGGTAATTTGGACAAGGTCATATGTATTAGAATTATGAAATTCTTGCCTTGGCTATAATACTTTGAAGTTGAGAAAAACATTAGATTCAGATTATATTAGGCACAACAGTTGCTTATATCCAGAAGGTGTGTAATAACACATACTGTATGAATGCTGTGAGGTTGGGCAGAAACTTAGTGGACCATATTCTTAAAATATTTCTTGTTGGTGTCTTCATGGTGGAGAATGTTGGCTTAAATAGGTTGTTCACTGGTACACTGATGGTTTATTTGGTGGGGCCCCCACCTACAGATAATGGACCTGCATCAGTCAAATTCTGGTCTCGTATGTCCTACTTTCTCCATTCTTGTTACATTTACATTGGAATGTGGAGAAATGCATATGCAAGACAACTTATGAGATGTCTTACTATGGGTCCTTCCATTGATTCTTATTAAAACCAGTCTGTCTTTGACAGGGACTAAAAATTAAGAGGAAGACTAGCCTAGTTTCTATCAGACAGGGATTCTTCACACAGGGGCTTGGTACAAAATATTTGCCTTCTTTAAAAATAATCACCCCCTCTATAAAAATGCATTTGCTTTCCTTAAATATGGTCACCACTACTATAAAAATACGATTGTCACCACTACTTTAAAAATACGTTTTTATAGTAGGAGTGACTATGTTTAAAGCAGGCAAATATCTCGTCACAAGCCCTGTGGATATCCAACTGTGGTTCTTTATGGCACTTTTCCTTCCACCTTTTTCTAAACAACTTATTCAGTGTACATGTATAACAATAAAATGTAGATATGCTTGTTATATCTGCGCCCCCAAACGGTCACACATCTGACACATTACTAAAAATTTTAGTAAAATCTGGTAAATATTGTCTTCTTTAGACTTTCATAGAAAGTAATTATATAATTCAGTGCAGAAAAAATCTTGATTTGAAGTAATGTGAATGTCTGAGAAAATAAAGTATCGAAACTTACGCCACACAGCACTTCACTGCGCTCTAAAAAATGTTCAATGTTACATAAAGATTTACAGTGCATTTTATTTTCTTCATTCTCAGAAGAGTTTTGGTGATTAAGAAAAAAATACGCATGCGCATTAATCGAAATTCTACTTTCACTTTTAACTGAAAATGACGAGCGAAGAATCGACTGCTCATGAAAACTTTGTTGAAAATGGAAAGAATAAGACAAAATTATTTTGTGAAAGATGCAGCTCTACTGTTTTGTTACCAAAGAAGGCTGTTTATTGTGAAGTAGAGGTACATTTGTTTAATAGTTTTGCATATATGACCACTTTTGAAGGGACCTTATATAGTTAGAATAATCTGTGTTTCGGGCAAAGCATTCATCAAAGTTAGAATGAGTCTCATATAGTTTCAATGTAGCAAATCGGAGAGTGTCAGTTCAGAAACGATTCTGGAGAATGTAAAAGGAATGACAATGAAAGTCCAAATTAATCAGAACTAACCTTTCTGAGGATGTATTATGCCTTCTATCCTAAAAAATAAAGACAAAACTTCAACTCATTTATCAAAGTTTTTCTCGCTTTTAATGTACATGCCATGTTGACATTTATAAATCTCTGGAATATTTGTAGTAAATGTATAAATTAGAATTATCTGCCCATCTTTATTTGCTACATTGACAACATACACCTGTCGAAGTCTATCAATTCTTGTAAATCCGCATAAAAATACTTAAACTTCAGCAATTTTTGGTAAACAATTTTTAATGTAACCCTATCGTTTTGAAGATTAATCTCTCAATAGATTCAAACCTTCTTGGGTATCAATCTTACAAACTGTTACTGAGACTTATAGAAAAACATGTTTACCAAAAGATGTTTCATAATGTATATGAAAAAAGAATTCCAAATAAATTTTAAAAATTGTCGTTTTTTTGCACTGTCATTTTATTTCCACTTTGGTATATATAATACCCCACCTGGGCAATTGGTCCTTACCTGTTATGGCATGCATGTTGAAAATGTCTAAGAACAACTCTGTATATCCTTGTCATTTTAGGACAATAACAAATAAACATTTTTAATTTTACAGATAAAAAATCATAATATCACTCATGCTACATGTTTAAAATCAAAGTTTTTGACAAAGTCCTTGAAAAGAAATATCCAATTGAAGAACTGTTGGACTATTCTGTCTGTCTTTGTAGCATTTTTAACAATGAATTCAGAATGCCCAAAATATTTCATTCTTTATATTTTTAGTTTTTTATGCCTCATATGAAGAAAAAGGCTGATGGAACTTCAGAAACAGGCGAGACATTGAAGAAATATTGGAAAGTGGATGATATGTTTGAGTTTGAAAATCTGGGATTTACAAACACAGTCGAAACAATAAAATACCTCATCTGTGCAGACTGTGAAATCGGACCTATTGGATGGCATGATATAAATGACAAAAAAGCATTTTATATTGCCCTTGACCGGGTCAAGCATGCGGAATAAGTTTAACCATTGTCCAGGAAGATCTTCATCAATGTGGGACCAAGTCATATAAATATATACATTTCCCAAAAATTTTCTTTCATTGTTTTGTATTGATATGAAGTATTAGGTCCTTATATTTATTTTTTTTTAACTTAACAAACTCACTTCAAGGTGTAAACTTCATAAAAAGAACAAACAATAATTTCGATTTCAAACAACAACTCTGTATTTATTTCTAAGAAGTTAAAATGAATATAATACATGTAATCTTTATAAGCAAAAACATTAAAAACTCCATAAAAAATAAATAAAATAAATTATTAAATGGTGTTAAAAAAGAGATTTTAAAATGGGGTTAAAAGAAATGTATCACAGCATAAGATGGATGAAAATTGCACTTGAAAGTCTGAGATATTTATAGATAACATGTACAATTTAGTAAATGTTTCAAACACATAATAACATTGGGTAAAAAATAAAATTTACAGAGTACTAGTACCATAACAATAAAAACGTCCACAAGCACTTCTTGTATTATCTAACACACATTTATATGCTGAAAGTTCCATGGTTGTTATGTGTTGTTGAATAAATGCTGCCTTCTAATACCGGTATATTTTGGTCAGATAATGGATCCTTGTTTAAGTATCGTCTTTTTTAATTTCTGGTAATACTGCGTCTTTTGGTTTGTCCATGTCTATTCTAACACCTGGAATATGAATCAAATAATTTGAAGGAAAATTGTATTTTATAAAGCTGTATGAGTATATACATTGTATTTTAATTTTTTTTGTTTTTTGGTTCATGGTACTAATTATGAAAGTTTGATAATTTATATATTAGTAAACAAGTTGCAAATCTTACCTAGGAAAGTGGGGAATCTAGGAGATCCAGAGTTTGTGTACTCTTGGAATTTGTATGTGATGATGGAGCCTATTTTGGGAGGACGGTTGTGATCTTTGTCACTCAATCTGTCATACAAAAAAGCAATTTGTAAGGTATTGTACTCCCAGAACAAAGCTTTTTTTTTTCATTTTTCAAAAATTAAATGTAGACATGTTCTTACCCAGATCCTACTGAGAATATTTTTCCATTTGCCATTTTGCATCTAAGAGCTCCCACTTTCCCTTGGAAACGACCTTTCCCAGGGTCATATCCTATGACAACAGCCTGAAAATCAATTTTGTATAGTTACCAAGTATTTTGTTATGTATACTCATAGGTGACATGCAGTTTCTGCAGTTATTGAAGAATATAAAAGTACAATTACCTCAGCATCATAGAATGTTTTAATCTTGAGCAGTGTATTTGATCTCCGCCTTTCATACTGAGATCCAGGCTCTCGAATCATGAGTCCCTCCCCACCAAGGCCAATAACTCTCTTAAGTTCATCATCAATCTGCTTCTTGCCAGTACATTTTTCTTGCTTGCACATAATTGCATATTCAGGACTGCAAATAGACACAGATAGATTAAATTATAGGTCATATATGCATATAGTTGGAATGTGCTTTTAAAATCCCTATCAGGGACTGTTTAAAGAATTTAGCTAAAAAAAACCCCATATATTTGGAATACAGCTGACTTACTCTACTTCATCAAAGTAGTCCTTAATTGCTTTCATTCTCTTTTCAAATGACTCCTTTTGTAGATTAGGGGCATCAAACACATGGTATTTAATTTTCTTCCACTGGTCACATTCAGGAGTCTTCACAATACTGACAGTGCTCTGAAACTTCTTCCTGCCCCCAAACAACTCTCCGTCTAAATGCATGTCTGTAGGTAGGTCCTTTGTAAACCATTTTGGAGCATAGAAAGGATTGCCAAGTCGAGAATAAAAACATCTGCAAGTGAAATTTGATGTCATTTAGCATGTGTCTAATTGTTACTTGAACTGTCGTAATATACCAGAATTCTGTTTCATGTTTGTTGATTTTTATTGTCTCACCTTCCATTCCAAAATGCTCTTACACCATCCAACTTTTCACTGATCCACCAGTTCGTAGGATCATTTTTTCTGTAAAGACAAGAAAAAGTAAAACAAGTTTTTTTTTAAAATCCAACAGGATTCACCATTATTTGTGTAAGAATGGCTATGAAAAATGTCTATGTATGGTATATCTGTGTGTAAGAGAAATTCAGTTTACTTTTTAAACTATGTAAACTTACTTTTCATCATATTTGTTTGCTAACAGCAGGCTTATGTTGATATGTTGGAAAACTTTAGAGGGAGCTGGTGTCACTTTTTTGTCTGCAGGGAGTTTGCCTACTCTTGATTTTTCAAACTCATCTCCCAGATATTCTCGTAGATGTCTGCAAGTTCTCTTGTTTGGAGCATTTTTCTGTACTTTCCACCCAATGCATCTAAAATGAAAAAAGATGATATGATGTTAAGAGATTTATGTGTTTCCATATTTAGTTCTTTTTATCTATTTACTGTGAATATTGTATTGGTGTTGTTCATTAAAGTATAACGAATTATGAAAAATGATGATTTTTTGTTATGATTTAAGTGAAAAATAATTGTCAAGATCAATTTAAATTTATGCTTAAATGAAAGCAAATCCCCAAATATTGATGCTATTGAAAATAAGGGATACTTGCTGAACAGGGTAGATAACTTACGTGCAGGTGTAATGGCTGCCTATTCTTTTCAGTCTGTATCCCCCCGCCACTGATTTTTCCTCCCCATCCTCAATCTTATTTTCTGCTTTAGGTCGTTTAGTTTTCTTTGGAGGGCCGTCAGCTGGGTGTCTGAACTGTTTGATATGATTTGGGTCCTTTCTGTAACACTTCTCCCAGTAAATACAGTCAGGTCGGTCATCTTCTGCAGCTGTTGATGTTCCAGCTATGTCATTGCTGGTTGAAGGCTTTGGTTTTTCCTGATTGACAAAATGAATAATTTTTTTTACACATGATAATGACATCAGGAAGGAAACTGGGTGGTTTTTGAATTAATACTTCTTCTAAACTTAATGACATTAGAACAGAAACCATGTGCTTTATTTAATTTTTTTTAAAAATAAATGGTTACTGTGCAGATTTTTAATTTTTGTTTTTTAATCTACATGTTTCCAATGTTACATACAATATAATATTTTCATGTTTGATGAACCACACATATAAGTATACTTACCATGCTGACAGAGCGAGATCTGAGCTTTTTAAGAGTTGGTCGACTAACATCAACATCCATATCTTCTGTTACACTCAGTTCATGTGTTTTTTGCCTCTTTAGTTTCAGGGGAGAATTTTTAACCTTGGGTTCTTCAATTTCTGTATCTGTAATTAAGATAACACATTTCACTATCGTTCTAGAGATAAGGGACTCTTAAGCTTAAAAATCATAATACAGTTTAATAGTGATGTATATAATAAAGTATATAAGAAAATTTACATATTTATTTTTATACCTGTGTCTCCATCTTCCTCTGGATGTAAGAAATTTTTGATGTGATCTTTATCTTTTCTATAGCATTTTGTCCAGTATTTGCATTTCTGTTTAGTTGCCATATCGTATATGATTTAATGGATTTCTTAGATATTCAATGGATGTCCTATAAGAAAAAAATACCATTCATTAATATATATATATATATATATATATATATATATATATATATATATATATATATATATATATATATATATATATATATATATACTTTGTTTAAAAATTCTTTCTCTGGTATAATTTATATGTATTCAGCTTAGTTTCTTGAAATATATTTGATATGCACTTCTTACTTGTTACGTTTTTCCGTTATGAATCCAGAGAGACAACGAACCGGCATTTATACACCTTGTTACTTCCTCAAGTACGAACATGCAATGAACACGCCCACAAAATTGTAAACAAACACCTGTCATTGCTTTCGGGATTTTCCCATTATTGGAAAGGTACATAAAAGATGCATTCCGAAAAAATGGTTGCCTTCGTCCTATTTTTAGAAACACGAAGACTTGCGATTCGTGACAAATGTAGACTTGCGATTTCTGCAGACTTGCAATTCGTTTCTTTATTTAATGCATTTGTACAAAAAAAGAAAAAAGAAGACAGAAAGAAAGGATTTATGATGATATAACCATGATTAAAAAAAATATATAAGATATATTACAGAACTGTGGACATTTTCATAAAATAAACAAAAACAAAACAAAACAAAAACAAACCAACGAACAAAAACAACCTTTTCATTTAAAAGTAAGCTATGTACATCAGTTAAAAAGTAAGGCACATGCTTACATTTTAATTCTGTTAAATATATTTTCATTTTTCAAATGTCTTTGTCCGAGCTCAAACGACGGATATTTTATAAAGGTAATATATGTACAATGTATTAAGAAAATGCTGAATATTACTATTATCACATTTTGTGAATAATTATTATATTTATCTGTTCTGTTTAATAATCATGTATGTAATATGCTCAAAAGGACCCCGATTTGGAATAATAAATAAAATATTGCCAAGAAAAAAAGAAATATATTGCAAAAAAAAATATTGCAAATATATAGCTGCGATTTGCTCAGCACGTCACAGAATTGCATGCTTTCTCGCTGTCTGGTGGGCGGGGGATGCTGAGATTTCTTATTATTGGATAGAAATATTTTTTGTTGAATCAAGGATCAGGTAAAAATGTAAATATAAGAAAAAAGTATGTTTTTTCTTTTGTTTGTGTGTATGGAATTCCGTATACGACAGCCAACTGCTTACTGCCAGCTACTTAATTACTGTCAACTGGTCACTGCTTTCTGCCAACTGCCACTGCTCATAGATGATATTACCTGTTTTATTATCTTTAATACGAATGCTTGAATATATAATAACAAATATTGGCGAATTCAGAAAGGCGAGCTAAGAAGGAATAAATAGGGGGGAGGGGTGTTTCTTCTTAAATACAAAACATCTAATTCCCACATTTCCTTGCAGGCAAATAATTCAATAGCTTTTTCTGACGGGGAGAGATTAAAGACATATATAACGTCAAAAAATGGGGGGGGGGGGCTTGTAGTAGGATCCTAGAATACATTTGTTGGTATATGCATATACCAGAAATACTTAGTCTAATGAAAAATCCTAATACAAATATTAATTTTACTCTATGTAAAAACAACTGATCTTAGGCAAGGAAGCAATTTCCGTGCGGGGAATGGGGGGGGGGGGGCAACCCAACAGAAATCCCTTGGCAATTAATAAGAAAAAAAAGGTCACTAGGCGTCGTTATTGAGTGAGCACTACTGTATTGTATATGCTGGTAATTTATTGGGGACACCCCCGCCACCACCATCAATGCTTTTACTCTAACAATAGCCATCAAAACGATTTAAATAAGACACATATAAAAATTCACAAATACGGGTTCCTTTCATAGGGTGAAAAGAAACACTAAAAGATTTACCCTAAGCAAATGTTAAATTATTATAAAATTAAGTAATATTTCTAGTATAAATTTATATGACAACAAATGTTACCCGAGACCCTGCTATAAGTTTATTATTTATCGTATGTGAACCCCACAATCCCCACTATCCCCCCCCCCCCTCTCGCGTCCAAAAAAAACAAAACAAAAACAAAAAACTATCGAATTATTTGCCTGCAAGGAATTGTGGGAATTAAATGTTTTGTTTTGAAGAAGAAATACTTCTTTCTTCGATTTACTCCTTTCCTAAATCCGCCAATTTTCGTCATTATTGAAAGATTTATGCACGCTAACTCTCGATTCCCGCCTATTTTACATCCATTTAATTCAATATAAATGACAAATTGGCCATTAAAACTTGTTTGATTGAAAAGAAAAGTTCCTTTAATAAGGGGGTAAAAAATTTTATCAATTGAAATCAGGCTTTAAAACATCACCAGATTTCTAATACTCACGACTCTTAAATATCTCCGTATGTTTAACTTATGTAAAATTTTAACATATCAGATTGAATAGATAAATTTTAGTAACACCTAAATTGTACAATTTTTTTAACGTTGTTTAAATGTATCGTTAAGATTGTTTTTCTTTTTTAAATGTTTTTCCTTTACTGACAATTTACTACAAAATGTATAGGTAAAAACTGACATGCATGAAAAATAAATATCTAAGGATTCATCTGTTTGTTTGTTTGGTTGGTTGGGTTTTTTTTTTTTTAGTAAAAATTAAAGTACTTAATTCATCTCTACCTCTTCTGAAGGGTTTAATATAACGTAGTTTTCGCATCTTTTAACAGTATTTCTTTAGCAAGATAAAGTCTCGTCATTTCATCACTGAGCTTGCGCAATAATATTAGCTTCATTGATCGTTGTTCTTACGTCGTTCAAAGGGAGATCATTTGAAAACAGCCAGAGTTACCTTATGCAAATTTTACAAAATAACAGTTAAGCATTAGAAAGATTAGTATAACTGCGAGATTTCTGGAGGGTGGTGGTGGGATAATCTCTAAAAGGTTATCAACAAAAATTCTCTGCTGCTTCCTAATAAAGAAGGCACATTCACGCACATGTATCGGCAAGTGCACATGCATGCAAAGCGCTGCAAATGCGGCCTGTGTACCCAAAATGTGCACCATCGACATCCTACTCGTACTTATTTCAAGTTTCATAAATTGATTCATTTTTTCCAAAACCTGGGATATTTTAATCTTAAGATACTTTCTTTTATTTATACAAATGAGTTATCTGTGTAAATCAGAATTGGGACGGAGTTAGTTGCATGAAAATGGTGTTTAAAATAAAACTTTGTCTTTACAGTGTTTGAGAATGCAATTTTTGTAGGAAGATATAGCAATTGCAAAGGTGTGAGAGAGTAATTGCACGTGCTCAGTGCAGTTCCAAACTATATACACACACAACAAATTCCCGATTTCTTTCTGCTGTGAAGAACTAAATACAAGGTCATTGTTGCAGTCTTTGAAAAGTAACTGTTTTGTCAACTGAGCGCTAGTCATCACGTGACCAGTAACCGTTCACCGCTATCAATAGAAAACATGAAAGCTCTTATAATTACCGACGCTTTAGACTTATGTAGATAAATGATTTTTCAACGGTAACTGTCATTACACTTTTGCATGAATGTAAGATACTTTGTAGCGCATTGCCGCTACAAGGTCAAAAAGGAATCGTCTCTCTAAGTCCACTTTTGTTCTGAATTAATTTTTAAAATTTATTTTCCATACATGGGATTGATTGAGAGGTGAAATTTTTTGAACATTGGACAGCATCTTAACAACAACATTAAAGGTGAAATTGATGCAAATCATCCATATTGCCCTAACGCTGGCGAGACAATTAACGGCAGCAGATTTGAGAGGGTTGATCCTTAGATTTCAGTTTTCTTCGTTAAAGAAAAATGAACTAGGAAGTAGCCTCCAATGCCATGAGAAAAATAGTTCCTGTCAAAAACCTTTATGTATTTACAAAGTACATAAAATGTACTAGGCACAGGTGCCAAAATTGTAAAAACAGACTAGAAGAAATTTTTAAAAAAATTTTCAATAGAATTTTTTTATATATATGGAACTACAATCAATGAGTTCATTTTCATTGGTCAATTACCGGTGTGATACATTAATACCAGTCTCTCACCAGAGGGCGTGCTACGCAAGCTTCACTTACTGTTACAATGAATACATGATTAACAACTTTTTAATGAAATATTGTACATTATAATATATTTATTACTTTTAATGACACATGTATAATGTTTTCCATACCACGCGTCCGCGAAAAAATTACGTAAAAACAAACATTTATTGCACTCCATTTAATATGATGCCTCGTATCTCTTTTTGCTACCTGCGTATCAATAATTTCGTTGATGTAAACATTTTAAAGAAGTTATCTCTTACTTTTACATAAATATGTGAAATTTCCCCCACCACCAAACCCCCTCCGAATTACATACTTAAGGAAGCTCTAAACACTAACAAAAAATATTTTTTGGACTGTCAGAAATTTATATCACATAAAGATGTACATACTTTATTATTCTAGTTACGTTTTCAACATAGGGTACCTGCCTTATTTTTCCGGGAAAAATGTTCAAAGACAATGACATATTAGTTGACAAAAATCATTATTTTTTCAATACATGAGAAAATACATGCAAATATTTATGATGTTTTCAATAACTTAATCTTGGTTTAATAAAATGTTCAGAATACTTAAATCAATTTTAAATCGAGTCATTTAAGTAGGCAGTCTTTAGAGCTTCCTTAAAGGCAAACATGCTTAGTATCAAATTTTCTCCCTGTTAAAATTTCACAATAATTTGAACATATCATATAAAAGTATATATATGGGGTAAGTTGTATGCATAAAATTATGTTAAAACTGGTTCGAATGCATAATTCTGATGCTAAAAGTTCCAAAATAATTGCTACTTGATATGTTTGAATTTTGAATATCAGGAAACTACTTTACAAAGAAAATGCCTGAATGAAAACACACGAGAATGAGTTATTGAATTTTTAATCTTTTTACCAATGCACATTTTACCTTTTTATTAATCAAAGGCAATCGCTTATTAAAAAGATTTTTTTCCCTCGGGAAAGAAATTTAAGATAACGCATGAACATTACAATAAATAGGTGGATCAAACAATTTTTTTTTCTTTCATAGATATGGGAATTTTCTTAACAGAATTTTATTGAAAAATGAAGTGTAATTTCATTGAAGATTTTTTGACAGCCACTGACGGGAGGGTACAACCCATGCGCGGATCTAGAGGGGGGGGGGAGGTCGGAGGGTCAGGATCCCCCTGGATTTTGCAGAGTTATAAAAAGTATATACTGAAACAAATAAAAAATGACTTTGGACTCCCTTAGAAAACGTGAACCCCACCATAACCATCACGAAATAGGTGTTTTTCACGTTTGGAAAATGGGTTTGACCCTTTTTTTGCGTGTGTGTGGGTGAGAGAGAGTTTTTTTTTTTTGGGGGGGGGGGGGGTTATGATGATGATCAATCAGTTTGCTCGCGTGATTAATTACGCATAAATGCGTTCGGCGTTTATACGCAAATTATCATGCGAGCAAACTGATTGATCAAATCATACAACCCCCCCCCCCCAAAAAAAAAAAAACCAAAACAAAACAAAACAAAAAAACTATACAGGTATTATATACAGTATACAGATGTATATCTTGCATTATAATAATAATACATGTCTACATATGAAACTTTAAAAAAATCCACCAATGTACTAACTCGAAGAATTACTCTAAAAATTGTGTATTGTCTGTATTATATTTGTTATTATTTATTTATTATTTATTTGTGTTTATGTTCATTTGGGGCCCTGATTTGGTAATAAATGCTATTCTATTACAGTGTATATTCTCTTTCTATCACATAAGAATACATGTATGTTGTGAAAAATCCTTTAGAAAAAATAACATCTTTCTCAAACAATTAAGGAAATTATTAAAGGAGTTGTAAAAAAATTTATTTTAATCTTAACATTTTTTTTTTTTGAAAATGCCTACTAAACACTGTATACCAAAATATGAACCTATGAACTTTTTTCTAACAGTTTCTCTATTAATGAACACGCCTGAAAAGGGGGGTGGGGGTGGATGGAGGGGGTGTTATCATAAAAGACTGCTAGGAAAAAAAGTGCACCCCACCCCCCTCCCCTTTCAGCCCGAATCACTCTCATTATACTTTAAAAAAGAGTTACTGCAAGAGCAGGGTAGGACAATAAATCCAACAGCTTTAAATTTCATTCATGTGCAGAAGAATCTTCGCGTACGGAAGCGTATTAGTGCCACGTAATATATATTTTTTTAAGTTAGATTGATTGTATGTTGTTTTAGGTCCCATTCGAGAATTTTTCACTCATATAGAGATGTCACAATATACGGTGAAGGGCTTCAAATTTTGACCTTTACTCGGCACTAACTTTGTTTAGATATAGAATAAAAACAACAACAAATGATGAATTTTTAATAATATACTGTGTATTTCATTTTAGTTCTTCAGTCAGCTTTTAAGAGATTTTTATATTGCACAATACAAAAAATTTTGTTCCTAGTAAATAAAAATTCCTCTCAAACACATCTGTTTCATGAACAACATATCAAATATCACTCACAAAATATGTACCAAAAACTACAGTCATTCAAAATGAAGTACAGAAGTCAAACTCAATGTACTTGTATATAGAAAGCAAGATTCAAAGTTTAACTGAAACTCATTTTGTATAAAATGTTCATTGTTGCTAACTATTCACAAAGAATGTTGTGTATGTATGATAATCTGTTGATATTTTTTGTTCTGAATATGTAAAAAAAAAATCTTTACAGAAGATATGAGTACATTGCAAAGTATTTATGATTCAATAAGAAATGATAAAATGATGACTCATCCACAATAAAAAATAAAGTAATTAATTCAGAAATGTCAAGGCCAAGACCAAGGTCAACATCAAAAGTATTATTTATAACATCACTGATTTACCTACAAGTGAAGTTTAAAGATTCTACTATGAATTGAAAAAAAAACATGGTAATTGTATCAGTTTCACAAAGTTGATGGTACAGATGGATGGTCAAACAGACATTACTAATCCACATACTAGGTATTGCTTGCAATCTTATGAACAATTTTGTAATAATAGAAAATCATAAAAATATTTTTTGTCACAAATATTTCAATACCTATAAAAAAATCACACTCTTCTCTACATTTTCATTTTAAATTCCATTTTGTAATAGGAAAAATATTCAATGCACTCTCTTACTAAAAAAAATAATTTAATGCATCAAACATTCAAAAATGTCCATAAACAGCTGTCTTGGACAAAACTTACTACACATAACTTCATTTTCTTCATGCATGATAGGTGGGAATGTACAAACACGCAAATTCAAAAATAGCACATGGAGATCAACTTTTTTGTTTTAGTCCAGACTACAATGCACTATACACCAGAACATCAACCAATTAGGTAACATAAGGAAGGAAAACAAACCAAACATCCAGCTACCAAAGAAATATTTGTCGATGATTGTGAGAAATATGTTGGTCTTCATGAAGCTCCAGGAATTGCCCAGTAAGTCTATGAAGTCTTTGTGTTTCTCTCCATAACTTGTAATCACCGAGGCTATAAATAGTAACACAGCTGGGGACACTATGAAGAGTAGCGCTTTCTGCAGCCAAAGCAGTAGCCTATAAATACATAAAAAGAAGAACATGTAGAAATCTTCACATCCTTAAAATATCTGAAATAATCAGAGAATGTTTTGAATATAATTTGTTAAAGTATTTCTTTCTATGAAACCTTGTTCAATTAAGACTACACTGAAAAATAAGTACCGTAAATGTATTTATAAATCAAATTTAAATCCTTTGGATTTTCTACAGCAACTTCTTCAATTAATGAGATTTAGACAAAAAGCACCAATTCTATCCATTATGTAGATGTACCTGCTTTTGGTTGGCTGTGCTATAACTGTGATGGGAACAAGGACAACAGCTAGAAAGAAGGCCAGGGAAATGTTCATCAAAGAAATAGAGAACAGAACCAGTGACTGGAACAGCAGAGTGACACACTTCAGTAACCTCCAATCAAAAATCAGCTTCTTACTAGCTCCTGGCTGCTTCCTGTAAAAAAAAACAACTCTTAAATGAAACTATTCACATTTACATCATACAACAATAAAGAGATTTTTTAAGTTTACAATTTAAATTACACATCTAGGTACACAAACCTGCTGATAAGTCTAGGAACCATCAGAGAAGCTGTGTACAGAGCCATAAGTCCAAAGCTGATGTTGTCCTCCATTTTGATTCTGAAGGGCGGGGCTGACATGGTTATAAGGTCAGGTCCAGTGTAGGAGAACATCCCCATCATCACACTGATCAATATGACAGGCATGATAGAGATCAAACCCTCAGAGGCTGCTTCCTTAAATGAAAATTTAAAATATTCTTTTTGTACTGTTAAAGTTCTATTGTATTACATCTACATTTTAACACACATGAATAGAATCCAGTTCTAATATCTTTTTTGATGAATGAATTTACTTCATTTAAACAAACAACTATGTTTAATAATTGGTCATGAAAACAGGTTTTAGCACAATTAATGTCTAGGTAATCCACTTATAGTGTGCAGTTATACTGTATTAAATTTTGTTTTAAATGGCGGTAACTTCCTTATCCACTGTAGTTAGATACTTATAATGTACATTAACATAAAAACTTTTAGCAAATTTTGTTGAAAATTTGCACATTGTTGCTTGAGAAGGGATTAAAAATAGGAAAACATATTGACAATGAAGACCTGGTAATGACAAATAAAAGCAGACAGCAATAGGTCAATACATGACTCAGCTGACCTTAAGAAAGGTATGGGAATCACCAAGAAAGCATAACAGACAAGGGACATAACTCTAATTTTGTGTAAATCATGTGACTGTATACCTCCTCTACAGCCTCATCCATCACTGTTTTCCTCAGCTCCTCCACCTCCTTCTCCAGTGCCTTAGCCTCTCTATCCTCCCTGTCACCTTCTTCTTCTTCTTCTTCCTCCTTCTTCTTCTCTTCCTCAGTCTTCTTTTCTTCATCATCAGATTCCTTGTCCTTCTTTAGTGTCACCCAAATAGCAACAGCGTAAATACGTTAAGGAATTCAAACTATTTCTCTTGAATCAAAATGTTAAGATTCATCTTAGTATTGTTCAAAAATGTATATTATGTTGCAGTAACATTTTCAAACATAAATCTAAAAGCTGAATTAGGCAAAAGGTTACGTTGCACATGTATGAACTGCGTATGTACCACAAAAATGAAAGCAATTATTAAGGATATTTTGATGAGACCTGCTGCACATATCAAACCAAATGGTGGCATGTACATTCCAATAGAGACATAGTTTCTGGTACCAGGAAGAATGTAGAAAAAGAAAGATTGGTGAAATCTTTCTAGAAGATTGTTTAAACTTCTAAATATTCCCTCCAGAATTCTGAAAGAAACAAAACATTTAATTATAACAGGAAAGTGTTTTATGACTAGAATTGTAAATACGAGCATATATTTAGAAATTACGGCAAGAATCAAAATCTACAGATATTTTACACAGTTCTGAAGAGCATTTGTCCAAAAGAGGAATTTGAAATCTGTCAATAAGGAATGTGTCAAGAAACTAGATGTTAATCCATGCTATAGAACCATTTATAACCCCTCAAAAAATAATACCAAGCATTGCTAGTTATGATGTACAGTGTACATGTATTGTTTGTGTAATTTTTTTTTACATTTTATATGGTAGTTTGTTCCTCCAATGGTATAGTGTAATTAGTATTCAATTTTTGTGATTTCCTTTCAAATGACTCCACCAAAGACAGGCAATCAGAAAATCTAAGTGACTTTAGTTTAATGTTGACTAAAACAGATAATGCTGCAAATAATTGGATGACATCAGTATTCATAATTCATATCAATATAGTAAGGGTAGATAACTACATGTAAACAGTTAACAGAGAACAGAGAATGATAATTTTTTTGTAAGAAAATTTCATTACAAACCTTCCTGTTCTCTCTAAGGGATAAGCGAAGTTACTGTTCTTCCTCCTGATTCCTTGCAAGGTCACAGCCTCTATGTGGTATTTATGGAAGAGTCCATGATTGCCTGAGGGGGTGCCAGCTGCCTGGGACCACATCATCTCTAGCATGGTCTTCACACTCTGCATGTAGCCCTCCAGAGTCTGGGGGTCCATGGGGTCATTCTACCAACAAAGAACATTCATCTAATGTGTTATTTGTTTTTATGACTTAATACATATGAAATTCAGAGTTTGGTTCTAAAACAAATATTTTCTCTCTTTTTTCCATCCCAAATAACTTTTCATTTTCTCAAAGCTTTTCTTGGAAATATTTGTTGTTTTGCTAATACCCTACAGGAACTCACATTTCTGTGGAATGTAACATCCACTCCTTCCTGGTTGCAGATTCTTACGACAAGATTAAATAGGTCAAGATTTGGTAGCTGACCATTCATGCCCTCAATCTTAACATCAAAATAACGGATATTTCCATCCGGAATTTCCAGATTAAGGGCTGCTTGGATAGCTCCACTCCTTCCCATAACATCACTTGGCACTATATCTATAAGACACCAGAATAAGGCTAGTCATAAGAAACCAGAATAAGGCTAGTTGTAAGACATCAGAATAAGGCTAGTCATTAAAAACCAGAATAAGACTAGTCATATTGCACTCTTGGCTAGCAAATATGACCGGAATGAGACTAATTCTTTCTGAATTTATACAGAAAGATTTTGTTTCATTAATTTAATTTGTGTTTCTATAGATTCTAATTCTTCAAAACCCTAATTTTAACCTTTGATTTTTAATTTTACTTTGGTACTTATTTGTGGTGATTGTATTCACAAGTAACTTTAGGGAATACGTAAGTCCTAGAGATAATTTTCAAAATGAAATAGATTTGTCTTGATTTAGCAATGTACTGACATATAACTGATGTTAAAATTAAGTTATTTAATACATACATTCAGCTTTAATGTCATGATAGCCATCCAGCCAAGCTTGTAATCCTATCTGCTCATGGTCAGATACCAGGAATATGATGTCCTTGGACCAGTATGTTTGTCCTAAAATAGACAGGTTCATATTTCACTTTTTAATGAACAATGTCTGGAAATTATGATATCAATTTGACACATTTTTACACTCTATTGATATAAGAAAGAGCCTATTTTGATATCTAAAATTACAATCTACTATGACTTAGCAGCAAAGTACATGTATTAACTTAGGTTAAAAGGCATGTGCATATACACTGTAGTAAACAATATGAGTATAAATCATGATCATCTCTCCATAAGAAGTATACAACTCAAATCTAAATTTCACTGCCTTTTTGGTCATATTAACTAACAAGGGTAAAGCTGTCAATGTGACAGCAAAATGCATTTTCTTTTATGTGAACAGTACATCTAACCCATCTGTCGAGACTGAATATTTGATATGTACACATTTTTTCATTGACAGCAATGTTTGACCTTCGGTTGAAGTTACAAGTACATGGCCTATTTTTGAATGAAAGACAACAGAATTGAAGATCCTGATCCTTGTCAAGGTTGTATAATCATAGAAGAAAAATAAATTGGAAAACTGTAGGAGGTGACATCCCAACAATATTAGTATACCCTAGGAATATCTAACAACTGGTATTTCACACATAAATGATCAAAAATGAAATCCAAGTACCATGCAGATATCTGATATATGCACAATTGATCTGCAAAATAAATCACCTTTTACATATATGTATAATTGATCTGCAAAATAAAAACTCTTATCTTGAAAACTGAATGAGTTATCTGGACAAATGATGTACCCTGTTGGAATTTTTCTCATTAATAATCAAAAATAAAAATCAAAGTATCATGAACATCTCTGCCATAGATAAAACTGATCTGCAAAATACAAACTTTTTATCTTGAAAACTGTAGGAGGAGTTTTCAGGACAAATGATGTACCCTGTTGGCAGCCTCCCACCCGTTGGTCCGCCTGCCCATCCACCCACCATTTTCACCATATCAATCACCTGATTTTACCTGGTAAATAAAACACTTACTTCTGAAGTACTGAGCCATGGCCATCATCAAAACAATCCCTCCCGTAGTGGAGGATAGGTCTGAATCTTTGGGACGTATGGGAGTAGACATGACAAGGGCTTCTGTGCTGGCCGCTCGCTTAGCTCGCAAGATTCCATAAACATTCTGTCCTGGAATGTTCTGAAGTCAAAGGATACAAATTGAAGTGCAATGCAGTATGCAGACATCTTTAACTTCCTTTCTGTATTGTAAATTCATATGCAACTTGCAATTCAAACATTTCTGATAAGCCTCATTACTTCTTTACGAGAAAAGTGAACCAGAGACATTTAGCTAGCAAAGATGATACGTGTCTGGCAAATTTGAAAGAAATAATTCTTCTTGTCCATTCAGAAAAATTTCTATAGAGTGTATAGCTATAAAATGTTTAAAACAGAGACTGATATTTACCTGTCCTTTTGCAATGTCCAATGGATATTTTATAGAATAATTCTGTATATAAGTATCTAATCCTATTTCTCTGAAGTGATTGTAAATCCATTCTCTGGGAACTTTCCTATAATGAATCAAAGGGGTTTTTTTTGTTTGTTTGTTTTTTAAATTTCAAAACATAAAAGAAGAATTTATCATGATAACTGCAAGAATGAATCTTGATTAAGGGTTCTTTAACTCACATTGGTACACTAATAAAATGCTTAGGGACACTCATTATCCACACATAGTACCTGCACATGTTTTGAATCCTTAGTAATGTTAAAGAAAAATTAAATCAAATTCTTCAAGATGGTGTGATGAGTACTACTATTTGTTAAATAATTACCTCTTGTCCTTGTTAAACTCTTCTTTAAGCTCGGCTGCTATAGCATTCAAGTTCATCTCTGCATAGAACTCATTTGTAACCAATCCTAAATCATACAGTAATAAACATTTTTTGCATTCTGAATTCAGTAGTAAACACGCCTTTAAGAACTTTAATTGTGATTTTCATAATATTGGCTTTGAAGTGTTAATAATTCATATGAAGTTTAAAAAACATGTTAACATAAGTATACAATGCAATAAATTTACAGTTATTTGATCAAATCAGATGAAAACAAATTGTTGCATCATCTGGTTAAAATATATGTAGCCTATATATAAAACAACATTATGTAAATTGTATCTTTATATATTCAACAGTACTTCTATGACTTACCAGGCAAAAGAGCATTTTCAGAGAAGTATGTGGCTCCATTGAATGGCTGGTAAGCCAATGCCAGAAAACCAGCAACCCCAGCAACATAGCAGAGAACACACAGTATGTTGTTGTACTTGGAGATAACATCCACAATCTTCTTCTGACGTTTAGGGTCAGTCAGCAGACCCATGATGTCCCTCTGAGGAAAAAAAGTGGTACATGTACATGTAACAGTATACGCATGTAATTTATGTAAATGACCAATATGTTTGCTTATTTTATTGTCCCGTTTAAGTCCTCACTCTTAATGATCAATGAATGGGCTGATTACCCCCCTTCCCTGTGTGCCGAGCATAGATCAAGAATTTGCAGCCCTCCACCGGCAAATGGTGGCGTCTCCATATGAGTGAAAATTCTCAAGAGCGGACGTAACATTTACTTGTCCAAAAATATTTTAAAAAGAACTATTTGACAGTTTGAAAAATACAATAAATTAAAAAGAGAGTCTATATTTGCTGAGTCTGTAAGTGTTTTATAAGTTTCTAACACATATTGCAAATTATGAAACTCAATACTTGATACCGTGATTACTTAATGGAACACTTTCCCAGTGGAAGTGGGAAACGTCAATTAACTTGGGGCATTGTGCTGTTGAATACACTAACAGATCGATCACTGTAGATTATTAGTGCACAACGCTGATAAAATGTAGGAGATGCTAGTTAAATGTAGGAGATGCTGGTTCTCTTGAGTTATATAACTTACATTTTGTAGATATTTTCTGCAAATCTGTCTTTCTTTAATTAAAAAAAAAATCAACCATTTCTTCTTGATAAATGTTACTTTTGGAAGTCTAATAAACTGAATAAGAATGACTTACTTTCTGAAGTGCAACTATTGGCAATGCCTTGTATTTCTGATATACTCATTAATCAAATCACTCATTGTCACTAGCGTAAACAATATGTATTGCCTCGAAAATGACACCAGATTTAGAGCTTTCTTGATTTTATCGCAAAAGAGTGGAAGTAAGGTACATAACCACAAGGTAATTGCGATACTAAGTATTGTATCATCCTGTCTGAAGTATTGGTAAATGCTATATAATAGAAAAATAGCACAAAAAAGACGTCAAATGTTTATTTGCCTTTATCCTTTAATCATTTGTGTTACCTTTGAGTTCTTTTGTTACATCTTTCCTACCCAACACTAAAATCCCAAATTTCACTAGATCCATGCAACTAAAATCGAAAGTTCTGCCTCCATAGTAACTTCAACCTCGATCAATTTTTACAACCAGGATTGTCATTATTATGACCATAGTTAACTATTTACGCACTAAGTTTTCGATTTTGAACTTCAGATTAAAAGATCTGAGGAGGTGAGGCGATAGAATATATGGAATTGCAGTGTGAACAGAGGTTGAAACAAAGATAGGGTCCAAAATGGCATCATCCCTTGTGTTTTTTAAATAGATGGTATATGATTTTTTTTTACACTCTGGGAGCAAGCCCATGTACAGTGAATGTACGTTTGTTCGCCATTGGCGCCGTTCACCCTAATTCTCATTCGCCCAATTGCTCTTAAACTTGCTGGCCCAAAGTTTGTTAGCCAATAGTATGTAAGTTGGTTAATTTTTCGTAATTTCCTTTGATTTATTGAATTTCATGAATTCTTATTTCAATTATAAATTATTACACTTGAACATTCAGTTTAGATGAAGAAATAAAAAAAAAACTGTTAAGTAATCGATGTGGTACTCATTATAAGAAATGTTATTTATATAACGTTATTCTTCAATAAATAAACTCTTTGCTCAGACTCAGAGGCTGCTCATCCCCAATGAAAATGGCCTATATTAATGAACAACACCACTCTCAATTTCCATAATTATTTACAAAACACACGTTATACGAACCTTTAAAGAAAAAAAAAAACAATTTGAAAGTGTTCCCTATCTAATAGTAAGTACTTAATTACCAGCAATTAAACCGAGAAAGTCTTTGATAAACATTAAAATCAGAAATAAAGTCAATGATGGAAATAAAATATATTTATAATTATAATATCTTTTAATTAACAAAATAAAAAAAGAAATGACTTATAATTCAACGATAATGTTGGCATAAAATATTTACAATAGGGCGATCAGGATATATGGCGAATGGGTACAGGGTGAACGAGAATGAAGGCAAACGGACCCTGCATTAACGGACTCATGCGAACAAGTAGATAGGGCCTACAGACCTGATACCAGGTACGGTGGACAATCGCATCATCTCTGGCCTTTCCTTCAGAGGTCGGAAAAACCGCGAATGTATCAATATCACCAGATGTTAAAAATTTATACAACATGGAGTCGCTTCCTTTTTCTTAAAGTATTGGATAGACGGAGTTAAAAGTTCCTTCTATAGTATATTTTATGTAATAGCGAGCACAGCGAGGGGTGCAAAGCGCCGCTCGCACTGCGAGCTCTAACGACAACGCCTGGGCGAAGAGAAAATTCGGACTTGCACATTGATCCAAACAAATTTTTTTTCCGCAGTAACTTCTGGACCCACAATGCATTGCTTGTTTAAGCTACGTCCTCGCGAGAATAACCAAACACTTCAATAAAAAATAAACTTGATTTAATGGATATATTGCAGATAAATAGTAAATAAAACGTTCTTTGGTAAAGTAAGCACTGTTCAGACTTTGATTTAGTAATGCAAGGCTCGACATTAACGCTTGTCCGCATGTCCGGTACCAGTGAAAAAAAATTACGGACAAGTGAATATTGCTGGGCACTTGTCCAATTGGACAAGTGCATTTTAATGTAAAGGAGTCTCTAAATAATAAAAAGAACGACTGTTGAAAGTTAATCGGTAGTTTCAAGACGGAAGCTGTACATAAAAACCGGACTTCGATTCACATTCGATCGGGATCAAAGTTCACTAATTGCATACTACTGAAAAGGCATGGAACTTACGAACTTAACAAAGTTTGGATTCTGTTTGATGTTGAAAGGTTCACTTCTTGTTGTCAGATAAAATTTCGTTTTATGTGTTTGTTGTATTTATCAATAACATCACAAATAAATCAAGCACATGTCATGTGTAATGGACTTTATTTTAGTTTTCACTTTTCAAGTTGACAGTATGAGATCTTTATTGAAAAATTTTCGGACAAGTGAAGTTGAAGTTCGGACAAGTAAATGTCTTGGTCACTTGTCCGAATGGACAAGTAGGGAAAAAAGTTAATGTCGAGCCCTGTAATGCAACTTACATTCAATCATGTGACGTCAGAGTGTAGGCGTACCAAATGTCACGTGCGGTTTTAAGAGCCCGATCTAAATTATAACTGAATAAGTATATATCTGTGCTTGCCCTAACGGTCGCACCATCAACATATTATTTTTACATTCAATAAAGAACTCCATACTCCACAGATAAGAGGTCTAAATTGCACATTTATTTCAAAGATTGTATAAAGGGGGGGGGTTGTCATGGCATCTACATGTACGTAATACATTCGAGGTTGTTTTTCCGCTTGTCGGAAAGGCCGAGAAGTTGCGATTGCTACGGTGGAAGCACCAATGGAGCTTTTCCCCGGTCCCCATTAAAAGTTTGTAGGTACACACCAGAAAATCGTAGTACAAAGATTCTCAATCTGTGTAAATACAATACTTTTGTTAATATCCAAATCCAGACAAGCAGCTTACCTTTCAGGCTTTCTGTGAAAACTGTTTTACAGTTTTTCTTGATCGATAGTGCAGTGTAATATGATCAATGTCAAACAGGCGCTTGAATGTGGAGAATGGCTAGTCTAAATAACGAAATGGTGGGGGAAAATAAAAAACATGTGCATGTGTGCATTTCCTATAATTCAACTGTTAAAACAATTTATTAAAATAAAAATTCTTTCAAAATATTCACTTTCAATTTTACTCCATTACACATTATATGTGAAAGCCTTTAAAGCCTGTGGGGGGGGGGGGGAATTTGTAAGCTGAATTAGAAAACCATGCTTTTAATACGTATATATGCTCGATAAAAGAATCTCCCATGTATTGTTAATTTACACAAATTTATTATTTATTCTATTCCATTAATTTTCTTTCTTCTCGTCAGAGTTTTTTTTTTTGGGGGGGGGGGGTCTAACTTAAATAAGAATATCGTGGCATTAATTTTGGTAATAAATTTTGAATAAGAGAAGATAATGTTTTTATATTTCACATGTGCATTACCTATAAAAATTTTTTAAAAATATATTGTATTTTTTTTTACCTCTTGACCTTGAAGTTTGACCTACATTCAAAAAAATTTAACTTCAGTAATATAACTTTTGAATGAGAGAAGATAAGGCTTTCTTATTTCACATGTGCATTACCTAGGAGAAAACCTTATTGAATACTAGTATACTGTGATTTTTGACCTCATGACCTTAATCTTGAAGTATGACTTTTTTTTTTTCAAAAAGTTTAACTTATTAACTTGTAATACAATAATGTAAATTTTGAATGAGAGAAGATAGGGCTTCCATATTTATTGTGTGACCAGAACTTCACGTATTAATAGTTGTTTTTTACTTTGACTTTTGACATACCTTTTAAATGTTTTAACCTTGGGCGTAGCTTTTGTACTTGAAAAGATAGGGCTTTGATATTTTTTTATGTGTATTACCTGTAGCAAGCTCTTTCCAAATGTACTATGATTTTTTACTTCATGACCTTGAAGTCTGACCTACTTTAAAAAAATAACTTGGCTGTTTGCACAAGAACATATGTAAGAAAATTAATATTAAAAAAAACAACAAAAATTCTCTTTTAAAGCTATATATGGCGTATCTGAGCTAAAAAAAAAAAAATAAAAATAAAAATACGAAATTGAGTGTAGATAAACATGATATATGTTATATTTACGTTCAAATTAAAAACGAAGAGTCGGTAAATAAATCTGTTATGTTTTAAATTTTCTAATATCTTTGAAACTTGATTGGTTTAAATTGTGTAATTTACAGGAAAGTAATAAAACAAATAAAAAGATCTTTTTAATTTTACTTAGTCTGAACTTATAAAAAATATGCCACATGTGACTTTAAGGGCATACTCAACGTACCTTACCTACTGATAATTTTTTTCAAGATATTCCTAATTTGAAATATAGTACCATCAGATATTCGTAGACAAAAAATCAGCATGCATTACCAGGGGTTTTAAATAGATATCAGTTGATGAAAATTCTTGTATAATTCAAAGACCAAAAAATATACAAAAATTACTTAATATATATTCTAGATTTTTTCATCCAATTTTGTTTTAGAAGTGTCCAGCACCATATATAGACAATAAAAGAGTAGCACACAGGTCTTTCTAGTATTGGAACTCTTCAATTCCAGGAAAAAGACAGTAAAGTTCAAAAACTACCTTGCGTATGTCCTCAATAAACAAAGAATTGCCGAGTAGAAAATAGCTTGTGTAATTTGATTGGTGTAAAATAAATATGCCGATTTTGTTATAAACTTCTTATTATTTCATATTTCAAATGAATTAAGATAATCAGTTTAGAGCCTATGAAACAGAAAAGGCTACAGTGGCGAGACTGTTTGGAAATATGAGGGGAAACTTAAAGAAAGTTGGGTTCAGGACTGTTTCAAATAAAAGGCATTAAATTTTTGCGTGGGTTGAATTGAATACAACTATCAACTAGCATAAATTATATTCCAAATATATGCATTTTAAGAAGAAAAAACCTGACAATGAAAACTTTTGATCCATCTCTCAAAGCTGTTGCCATCAGTTGTCTCGAATCACTCTCAGGGGTATTTCAGTGATCAGCGTTAAATTTTGCACTTTTATTGAGTTCAAGCCAAAGCTTTACCGAGCGAGTTTTCTTGTCATGTAGTATACAGTATAAGAAGTTGAAAGCACCTGTATTAGAGGGACTTAATTTGGACAGAATTTTATTTCACTGTCTTGATTTGATTAACAATTAGCATCATCCCCATAGTCTGGATGTGTTAACCTCCTTTGAGGTGTGTTTATATGAGGCACTAAAGATGAATGTGTCTAAGAAATCGTCATAACACTAAAAAGGTGTGCTGTTGTGCATTGACTGATTTGGGCATGTTAGGTCTATTGAAATATTTGAGTCGGAGATCGATCGACTTATATATCATGAATACGCGGATCGGGGGGGGGGGGGGGTTGAGGGGGATCCGGACCTCCCCCGCCCCCCTGGAATTTGCAAAGTTACTAAAAGTATATACTGAAGCTTATAAAAAATGACTTTGGACCCCCCACCCCCATCGTCGCAAAGCACTGCCAAAATGTACGATCCTCTCCCATTCTGGTAGGTGAGAGCTATATGCGGACTCCGGACCGTGGCTTGAGTCGATGGACCCCCACCCCCCTCCCCCCCGAAAACGTGGACCCCACCATCACCACCACAAATTACTGAGGTGATTTGGTGATTTTTTCACGTTTTGGAAATGGATTTTTAGTTTGTTTTTATTATTATTATTATTTCTTTTCTTTTTTTTTTTTTTTTTGGTCAAGAAATTTTTGGGTTTGGAATTTTTTTTGTCGACTATGGTGGAACCCCCCCCCCCCCCGGGAAAAAAATTCCTGGATCAGCGCCTGTATATATTGAGGACCTTAGCTAAAATAGGGCATTTATGGAACATAAATGTTCACCAATCCCTTTGAATTAAATCTGATATATTAACTTTGTGAGTATTCTCTGAAAGTTACCATTTAAATAACATTTACAAATATCTGAAAAATTATATATGATTTTTTTTAATCAGTTTTGCAAATCATAAGACAATAGTTTCAAAGTTGTTTTTTTTTTTAAATTTGTTTTTCTGCTCTTTTGATGATGTTGTTGTTACCATCGTGATTCACTGAACCCATGATAAACCATCTGCGTTGAAATTTTCCCAGTTTGTCTGATTTTAGGTGAACCTTTATTTCAAACGCAGACGAGATTAAGAGTTTTTTAACCAAATACCTAAATATACGATTCAAATGAACCATTAATTTAAAAATTTAAAAATTAAATCTATCTAATTTTGTTAACAGATAACATAGATAAAACTACGGCATGATTTGAAATGCAGTAAATATGAGTTGTATAACATAATTGTGTAACCATCAGTGGAAAGTGCCCTTCGGGTAACAGGTGCCACAGAAATGGCAACAGTGGCGAACCGGGTGGCACGTCAAGCCTTTTTAAAGGCTAAAACTGTGCAAAATTCTACTCAGGTAATATATTTATGAGAGGCAGGCATCACATTGATTGTTAATATGTGTATTTTGATCGATTATTTACCTCAGATATTGCTATTTATTGTATTGGCAGTGCAAATTTTCAAGGACAAACTCCTCTTATTTTTCTTAACCGTTAAATTACATAACATGTATTTATTATGTTTTTGCAAAACGTATTTATAAAAATAACTATGCTTAAAAAATGATATATTCAAGATTTTAAAAATCTTTCTCACTCCAAATGATAAGTAAATGTACATGGGGAAAAATCCTCTAGAGGAAATTCGAAATAGATCTCTCATCCTACTCAGGGCTCTCTCACCACTTTTGGGAATGGAGCCAGGGCCGTCAAAATTGGGAAGATAGCAACCTTTTGGGAAATTATGGGATAACCATTATATTTTATAATCATGACTTACTGGATTTCTGGTCTTTGTTATCCACTAAATTTTTCTTTTGCAATACAGAGGAATATGAATAACAAATTTAGTTATATTACATATCCAGCTATATTTTCTTTAATTTTTGAGAGAAATGACTATTGGGAAAATTAATACATTGAATTGGGAAAAATGTACCTTTTTTGAATTGGGAATGGGGCCCATAAACGGCCCCAATTATAGATAATCGAGAGCCCTGCTACTGGAAAGTCTTTGGATTAATGACACGAGTTTTTATTCAGTTGTAGTGTTTTTGTATCAAGGAAGTTGTGATGAGGGGAGTGTTTTTATGTTTACACTGAAATATTAAAGGGGTGAAGTGATATGCCTCCTTCACAATACGATCATCCTCGCAAGCCAGGGGTCAGGAGTCAACACGTTGCCGTTGGACCCCTGGCATATTTCATTCAATATTTGTGGGCTGACTGTAGCGACGTCTTTCGGAAAAATTAAAAATCTTGATTGTTTTTCTTATCTCTCAACCAATCACATTAATGATAAACAACACTATGATATACAACTAGTAACATGTGCATTTGAGGTGTCAACTGAATCCTTATCTAACTATTTATGAAAGCTTTAATTTGATTGGTGCTTCTCAATGAGAGAAGCAAGCCCATGAATATTGAATGAAATATGCCAGGGGTCAGTGTTGACTCAGGACCTCTGGCTTGCGAGGATGCAATATGTTATCGTATAATTTTGTCACTATATGTTCATTTTCTATACGATACATTTTGATTGAAAGAAACAAATTTAAAGTTGTTTTATGTCATGTTTATCTGAAAGCAATAACTTAAATTTATGTGTTAATTAACTAAAAGACATTGCCTAGAATGAATTAACTGTTAATGATTATTTTACATACAGTTTGTCTTCAAGAATCACATTTTTAAAATTTAATCATGTTGTTTTATGTGTTTTGATGAATGCTAATCCTGATTGAATAACAATCCCAACCATAAAGTGAACTGATCCAAAAATGAAAATTTTGTACTAGGGGTGCAATGATACACCAACCTCACGATACGAATCACGGTATTCAGTTCATGATACGATACGTATCACGATACATGACTGGGTTAAGAACTTGACAGGGTTATATAAATGTTTGAGTTGTGACAATATTCTAAACCAATGACGAACATTTGCAGGGAACTATGGGGACCTTTCCTCATAAACTTCCTTTTAAATTGGAATGAGAAAGGAAGACATTCATTCTTTTATTCCTTTTATATACATAGAAAATCATTTGTCGTATTTCTCGTGTTAACACGTTTTAGTGAACAAGACAGCGAATTTTCATTGAAATTCACGTGTGATGAGATATCATTACCATAGAATACGTTTAGATCTAAAGGGTTTATCACTTGTCTTAACATCTATATTATAACTTTTAATCACATTAAGAATGAGATAAAAGTCCTTCACAGTGTTAAATCTGAGGTCTGCAAGATGCTGGAGATGAGTTTAACTGCCACTAATGCGTTATCCTCGACCTCATGTTTTGCGCGAGAGCCTTTTGAAATTGTAAACAAGGAAACAAAACGGACGATTCAGATAATTCTTGGCCAATTGAACTGAACCGCGATATCAGTTTAGCGTATCGTGAATTGAACCGTGGAAAAATATACTGTGATATACTGTCAAACGGTTTATCGTTGCACTCTTATTTTGTACCTTATATCAAACCAACAAAAACTACTGTGATGAATTGATACTGGAGTGAACCGTTTCACTCCTAAAGTATTAGCATGGTTAACATATTTATGAAAACAAATTTTTATGGCATGATAGATAATTTTTCATAACACTGAAACTTTCTCAAATTAATAGTAATTGTGATTCTTGCTTTGGTGCCATAAAACTTAGATGAGCTCACTTTCTGATCCCTCTTTTCTGCTATTTTTTTGTAAAAATGAGAGATAGACCAAAAAAGTGAGCTCATCTATGTTTTCTGGCCCTGGAACCTGCAGAGCAAATTGATAAAGTTTTGTGAAATATGAAGTTAAGCAATGCTTTGATAAGTAAGTCATCTCTGCTACTTATTAAAACTTTGCCAAGCTATATTGCCTTGCAGAGGGGCAGTGCAGCTACAAAATTTTAATATCATAGTCTGTAAGTCTCTAAGAAAACAACTAAAATCATGTTGCATGTGAAGTTATGATTATGATCATATTAACAGTTCATTTATTCTATAGGTTTTCTGTTCATTGAATCATTATTAACTTTGTAATTTCAGGCTAATTTTGGCAGTTTTAATAATCCCACACCAAAGGGAGCTAAGATTGTAAGTTGAAAATGAAAATTTATCAGCCTTTCAAATGAGTCATTGTGACAGAGACTTCCTTTCTTTATAAAATGATTGTTGTTGAAAAGAGAAATAAATCTTTCATTGTGTTTAGGTTGGTTTAATAGCTGGCACCACAGCAGCAATTGGAGCTGTTGGTTTGTATGTGAGCATCAAAGGAGCAGTCCATGCCGGAACAGAACTTCACCTGCACCCTCCTAAATATCCCTGGTATCATTCAGGATTTTTTACAGAGCTTGACAAGAGGAGGTACGACACACATACACACACCCTCCAACTTTTTTTGCTCCCTTCAAAGACTTCATAGACTCTATGTTCAGGCGAGATTTTCTGCTTGAGCTTGTGGCTGTGTTAGGCAAAATTTACTTGTTCTTATGAATATCTAATGAGAACAAAGGACCAATCACAAAATGTGCTGATTTAATAATGTGTAATATGGCATCCTTTAAGACTCAGTTAATTGATATCAATTAGTTCTTTTGAATTTTGCTGTTTTCAATGAGTTGAAAAGTTCTGAAAGGTTTCCCCTTTATTAAGTCTAGGTGTGTCATTCTTGGTTTTAATTTCCTGCAGGAATTGTAAAACTATGTTCAGCTTTTTTAATAGCCTTGCATGCCTACCCTCATGACTTTATAATGCCAAGGTCAATGATCAAAGATCAAACTAGAATTTGCCATTGTTAAAGATATGATTCCACTTACATCTTCTTTTGATGGATGTAATGGTAATACTGTCCATCGGACAACTGTGTGTAATAGGATATTTAATTAAAACAATAAAGAAATGGCATAGAAATACATGCTTCTTATATTGGCCCTCTGAATATTTCAGTGTAAGGAGGGGCTACCAGGTGTACAAACAGGTATGCTCAGCATGCCACAGTGTAGAACAGGTCCGATTCCGTGAGATGGTGGGAGTCATCTTTAGTGAAGAGGAGGCCAAGGCAGAGGCTGCTGATGTAAGAAAAACTGAAAAGTTAGATTAAGACATTGGTAATACAATTATATAAAGAAGAGAGATTTGAATGCTGCCTTCATTTATCAGTTTTGTTCACATTTTGGCCACAGTGCTGGAAAGGTGTTTAAATGTAACCATCATACATTTTTATGTTGAAAATTTCAGCTTTAATACTTCTTTTTAACTAATATAGGTAAATATTTAATTGTTAGAAGGAGATATAGTATTTATAGCTTATGAGATCGGTCAAAGGTCAAGGTCAAAATTAGATATTTTTTCTTGTTTATACTTTGAATGTCACAAAACTTAATTACATAGAAATCTAAAAATTACTATGCAGTTAAAAGGTCAGGGTCAAAAGATTATTAATATAAGCTCTTTTAATAATAGAACCCCACTGTTAACAATTTCTTTTAATTTTCTGAATTATTTGTAGCTAATATACATTCACATCTGGTATTATATTTATTTAAGAATAAATAATTCTCCATTCATTTAATATTTACAGTTCCAAGTCATTGATGGGTACGATGAGAACTGCATGCCAATTAAACGTCCAGGGAAATTATATGATTCAATCCCAAGTCCATATGACAACCAGCTTCAGGCTGAAAATGCGAACAATGGGGTAGCCCCACCAGATCTGTCCTATGTGATCTTGGGACGAGAAGGGGGAGAGGTAAGGAGTGCTGGTCAAGCTGGTGTTATTGTAACAGTTTCCAACACAACGTTTTAAGTCTTTAAATAGATTAAATGATATGTATGTCATATTCTGAATTATGTATAATGCAATTGACATTGAAAATTATCTGGTCAATTGGAAAATTGTAACCAAGTGGAATATCTATAAAATGTGTTAGATTAATTGCTTTTTTAAGATAAGAAATTTATATAAAGTAAATATAAAAAAAAAAATATGAAAAATTTTTTTAAGATTAAAAAAAATCAACATTCTTGATACAATATGATAATACTATACCTTGGTGTACATCTTTCTTAATTTGATTATATATTGATATTGTAGGACTACATTTTCTCACTACTGACCGGATATTGTGATCCTCCAGCAGGAGTTAATGTTCCTGAAGGAGTCCACTACAATCCATATTTCCCAGGAGGATTAATCGCTATGGCACAAGCTCTCTATAATGAAATAATTGAATATGATGATGGTAAGGCAATAAGTTTCTGAGCTCATGACTCTGTTTTATACCAGTAGATCATTGTGACAAGTTCAAGCCTGTGCATTGCTATTGAGCTTTATTTTTAAAAGCTAGAAAAACATAATTGGCCAAGGCATACATGACATTATTTCCTCCATATTTTAAATAATTTTTTTGTATAAGTGCATTTAGTGTATGCTTTCCCTAAATTTTAAAATGTGCAGCAATAAAGTGCTATTAAACAAATAATTTGATAATCTTCTTGAAATAATCATTGACAATCTTTTTCATTGAATGAATTTTGTTCTCCTTTGTAAATGAATTTAGATATTAAAAAAATCCTGTATTAATTTGGGGAAAGTCCTTTTATATCATAAATTCATGTTTCATTTATTACATTTTTAGCAGTTAAATACTTTAATTTATCCATTGAACAAAATTAATTGAATAAAATTGATATTCTCGCAGACATGTTTTTTTTTTCATCATAAAAAAATAAGTGTTATTTTCATAGTGAAAATAATAGATCTGGCAAATATCTCCCTTTAAGAATTTTGCATTTTGATATTTATAAAACCTGTTTTCCATCTTCTTAGTTGTCTTGCTTAGAAAGAAATACACAAAAAAATCATCCCTGGACATTATTTTTCAGGTACCCCTGCCACACAGAGCCAGCTGGCTAAGGATGTAGTCACTTTCCTCACATGGGCTGGAGAGCCATTCTGGGATGCTAGGAAGAATCTGGAACTTAAGGTGTGTGGAAATTCAAAGGAAACTTTACTTGAAAGAATTATTGTTATGTTTATATGCTGTAGGGTTAATTATTCTTGCACAAAATATGTCATGAACTTAAAAAAAAAAGAGAAGGGTTTCCTTATTATGTAGTGAAGGAAGTGTTTACATACACATTTACTTCTAGAATTCCCTCTGTCCAGTATGTACATACACATTCAGTTCAAGTAAATAAGTATCAAAATGATCTTACATCTTAATGAAAATCACTGTAAGCATGCATTCAATTTCATTAAGCATATTCACTGTAACCATGTTTTACTGTAATTAGGGCCCCGCTCTGCGGGTGCCCTATAGTGATCAGTCTGTCCGTCCGTCCGTCCGTCCAAGATCTCTTGTCCGGAGCATATCTTCTCTCTCCTTGGCCCAATCTGGCTCATACTTCACCCACAGAGTGTCTTTGGGTAAAGGGTGTGCAGTGACCTTGAACCATGTTTCTAGGTCTAAGGTCAAGGTCATAGCAGAATTGTATGAAAAATCCTTGTCCGGAGCATATCTTCTCTCTCCTTGGCCCAATCTGGCTCATACTTCACTCACATAGTGCCACTGGTCAATGGATGTGCAGTGACTTTGAACAAAGTTTTTAGGTCAAGGGTCAAGGTCAAAAATAGCCTCTCTGTTTAAATCCTTGTCCGTAGCATATCTTCTCTCTCCTTGGCCCAATCTGGTTCATACTTCACCCACAGAGTGTCTTTGGGTAAAGGGTGTGCAGTGACCTTGAACCATGTTTCTAGGTCTAAGTTCAAGGTCATAGTAGAATTATATTAAAAATCCTTGTCCGGAGCATATCTTCTCTCCTCTTGATCCGATGTGGCTCATACTTCACTCACATAGTGCCACTGGTCAATGGATGTGCAGTGACCTTGAACAAAGTTTTTAGGTCAAGGTCAAAAAAAGCCTTTCTGTTTAAATTTTTGTCTAGAGCATATTTTCTCTCTCCTTGGCCCAATCTGGCTCATACTTCACCCACAGAGTGTCTTTGGGTAAAGGGTGTGCAGTGACCTTGAACCATGTTTCTAGGTCTAAGGTCAAGGTCATAGCAGAATTGTATGAAAAATCCTTGTCCGGAGCATATCTTCTCTCTCCTTGGCCCAATCTGGCTCATACTTCACTCACATAGTGCCACTGGTCAATGGATGTGCAGTGACCTTGAACAAAGTTTTTAGGTCAAGGGTCAAGGTCAAAAATAGCCTCTCTGTTTAAATCCTTGTCCGTAGCATATCTTCTCTCTCCTTGGCCCAATCTGGTTCATACTTCACCCACAGAGTGTCTTTGGGTAAAGGGTGTGCAGTGACCTTGAACCATGTTTCTAGGTCTAAGTTCAAGGTCATAGTAGAATTATATTAAAAATCCTTGTCCGGAGCATATCTTCTCTCCTCTTGATCCGATGTGGCTCATACTTCACTCACATAGTGCCACTGGTCAATGGATGTGCAGTGACCTTGAACAAAGTTTTTAGGTCAAGGTCAAAAAAAGCCTTTCTGTTTAAATTTTTGTCTAGAGCATATTTTCTCTCTCCTTGGCCCAATCTGGCTCATACTTCACCCACAGAGTGTTTTTGGGTAAAGGGTATGCAGTGACCTTGAACCATATTTCTAGGTCTAAGGTCAAAGTCATAGCAGGATCATATGAAAAGTCCTTGTCCAGAGCATAACTTCTCTCCCTTGGTCCAATGTGGCTCATACTTCACTCACAGAGTGCCACTTGGCAGTGGATGTGCAGTGACCTTGACTGAAGTTTTTAGGTCAAGGGTCAATTTCAGAAATAGCCTCTCTGTTTAAAACCTTTGTTCGGTGCATAATTTCTTTCCCTTAAGTCCAGTCAGCCTCAAACCTTACCAATTGACTTAGGGTACGGATCATTTGTTATTTTCTTTCCATATTTCTGATAGAGCAACAATTTTCATAGAGGATATTCAGCATTCGTGATTTTTGTGTCATTTTTTGATGGAAGGTGTTGAGCACTCATGATTTTCATGCCATTTTTTATTATAACGAGGAGAACATAGAAGCCCTTTAGACTCAAACAACACATCCCTTAATAGTACATAAAATGTTCCTCTTCAAAATAAACCCTTTTCAGCTACCGTACATTTCCATGTTCATTGCTGAAAGCGGGGCCCTTTGAGATGGCCACCATCTCTGTTTCTTATACTGACATAATCATCATCAGAAAGAATCACTTGAAGGAAATGATTTAACATTTTTAAGTTGTTTATTTTCAGTTCTACACATTAATGGTAATTCTGGGAATAGGATCATACTATTACAAGAGAAGGATCTGGTCATCACTGAAACATAAACTCGTCGTCCCCAATTACAGTAAACCAAGCAAGACAGTACTCAGGGCCATCAAACCTGGCGGTCCAAAGGGCAGTCCCAAGTCCTAGAGAGGCGGAGTTATGAATATTTATTAATGACCAATTGAAAGTGACACTGGATTGCTGAGAGAAAACAAAAAAAGACTTGAAGGACAATTTTTTATGAATAGGAAATATTAGTACTGTGAAGATATTTCTGTTACAACTGAATTATTTCCAAGTATGTTTGAAAGGAAGAAATAAATTTTTAAATGTTGATCCATTTTCTGTTTATTTATATTTAGATACATGTATTAGTTTCCTGTACATATCTATGATGTGTATGAAATTATAATGTATCAAAATCAAGTTTACTTGAAGGTCACTGTTTGAAACAGTCATAAAAAAGGTGCTTTTAAGCTTGTCTGAGCTGAAGACTCAGAAGAGGCAATGTTTGAAGACTCAAAGAGCCAATTCATGCAGTGTGCATCAACTTTATGGAATGTGGACTGTATCTCATTTCAGCCAATTTTAAATCAAATTTGTCACAGAGTATCCTTGGATTAAGGGCTTTCATTATTTTACCCCTTGCTTGAAAAGTGGAAGGGGGGGGGGGGGTATATAGTGATGGGAGTGTCCTTCTGAACTTTTGTTTGTTACACTTCCATATGTCTGTTACACTGTGCCATTATATTCATATGGGAGTGTGGGCCATCATGGTGTGAGCTCATTGTTTACAGTACCTCTAGTGGACACTAAAAAGTAGTGGTTGCTTAAAAATCTCAAGATCTACTGGATAGATTATCAACAAACATATTTAAGGATGGTGATATACTATAGATTAAAAATTGTGGAGGCATCACCAAGAGCAAAGGAGATGGTCTTTAAGTCAGTTTAAAGTTGACCAAAATGATGTACATGTATTGTTACATGTATAACTTTTATATCTTGCTGATGATGAAGACGAAGATCAACAAATTTTTAGCTCACCTGAGCCAAAGGCTCAAGTGAGCTTTTCTGATCAAAATTTGTCCGTTGTCTGTCGTCGTTGGCGTTGTCATCGTTGTTGTAAACTTTTCACAATTTCATCTTCTTCTCCAGAACCACTGGGCCAATTTCAACCAAACTTGGCACAGAGTATCCTTGGATGAAGGGGATTCAAGTTTGTTCAAATGAAGGGCCACACCTTCTTCCAAGGGGAGATAATTGCGAATTTATGAAAAATTTATGGCATCTTTCAAAAATCTTCTTCTCAAGAACCACTGTGTTAGAAAGTTTGAAACTTATGTGGAAGCATCCTCAGGTAATGTAGATTCAAATTTGTTCAAATCATGACCCCCAGGGGTAGGGTGGGGCCACAGTGGGCTATCAAAGTTTTACATAGGAATACATAGGGAAAATCTTTAATAATCTTCTTCTCAAGAACAGGAAAGACTTGATTGGTCATATTTATATGGAAGCATCCTCAGATAGTGTTGATTCAATTTTGTTCAAATCATGACCCCCGGGGGTAGGGTGGGGCCACATTGGGCGATCAAAGTTTTACATAGGAATACATAGAGAAAATCTTTGAAAATCTTCTTCTCAAGAACAACAAAGTCTTGATTGGTCATATTTATATGGAAGCATCCTCAGATAGTGCTGATTCAAGTTTCTTCAAATCATAACCCCCGGGGGTAGGGTGGGGCCACATTGGGCGATCAAAGTTTTACATAGGAATACATAGGAAAATATTTAAAAACCTTCTTCTCAAGAACAACTAAGCCAAGATTGGTCATATTTATGTGGAAGCATCCTCATGTAGTGTTGATTCAAGTTTGTTCAAATCATGACCCCCGGGGTAGGGTGGGGCCACAGAGGTCGATCAAAGTTTTACATAGGAATACATAGAGAAAATCTTTAAATATCTTCTTCTCAAGAACAGCAAAGTCTTGATTGGTCATATCTATATGGAAGCATCCTCAGATACTGTTGATTCAAGTTTGTTCAAATCATGACTCCCGGGGGTAGGGCGGGGCCACAGAGGGCGATCAAAGTTTTACATAGGAATACATGGGGAAAATCTTTAAAAATCTTCTTCTCAAGAACAACAAAACCAATATTGGTCATATTTTTATGGAAGCATCCTCATGTAGTGTTGATTCAAGTTTGTTCAAATCATGACCCCCGGGGTAGGGTGGGGCCACAGAGGTCGATCAAAGTTTTACATAGGAATACATAGAGAAAATCTTTAAATATCTTCTTCTCAAGAACAGCAAAGTCTTGATTGGTCATATCTATATGGAAGCATCCTCAGATACTGTTGATTCAAGTTTGTTCAAATCATGACCCCCGGGGGTAGGTAGGGCCACAATGAAAGTTTAAACTTGAATAGGGAAAAATCACAGTTAGTCAAAAAAAAAGTATAAGCATCCTTAGTTAGTGTAGATTCAATTTTGTTGAAATCATACCCCCTAGCCTCCTCCCTTTTAGGGGTAGATCGGGACCACTTATGCATTTAAGCATTGCAATACAAAACTGATTTTTGCTTTTTTCGCAGCCACAGTGCTCAGGTGAGCGATGTGGCCCCTGGGCCTCTTGTTTTCAGTTGTTGTATTTTGGGACTTTGAGAAATGTTGACCCAAAAGTAGGACACATTGACCTTTTTTGGCATTTTACAAATATTCATTTCCAAATTGTTTTAAATGTATGTTTTATGACGCCTAGGGTCACCAAACCTTGTCACTTGCTGCAACCGACTTCAGGTGTGTCTCATAAAAAGTAAACCACAGTGATCATTTTTTTTTTCAATTTTATGGCTATTCATTTTCAAAACTTTTTAGCTTAATACACATGTATCTTTGACACTAAGATGCTCAAAATCATCGAAAATTTTTGATTTTTATGGTGTAACATTTTGAAATCTTTTAATTTATATATTTTGAAGACTGACAGATAGGGATTCTAAAAAACATGGAAAGTCAATGCACCTATGGGCATAGAGATTGTGTCAACCCCACAATAGGTCACAATCATTTTATGTATCATAATTCAATGTCAAAATCTGTAGCTTGGATTCTAAAAGGCATCAAACCCTGTCAGCTGATGCACTACTGGGCCTCAGGCTTGTTTTGACTTAAAAGTAGGTCACTGAAAGTGTAGAACAATTTATCAGAAAAATGATTCTTGGGTTGCCTTGTTTAATTTTACACATAATTAAAGAAGTACATTTTTAGTAATGAATTTTTCAAATCAATGGCAGAATTCAATGTGTAGTATTTCGCAAGAGCTGATGTGCTGATTAATCTGACAAAAAATTATTACTAATCAGGTAACTATACAAACTGGTATTCAAACACTACCTACACACAGCCATATAAGCCTGTTTGGCATCTTTTGTGAAATGTTGATTTAAGTACACAAGTAAGAAAAACTAATAACAGATGAAGTTGTTTATTTTCAACTTAAAATTAATTTTAGTATAAATAAATATACAGAGAGCTAAATAAGATAATCGGTAAAATGAACAAGTTCATACAGTAAATTCATCATACCAGTACATGTAATAAAATTCAGCAATAGGTTGTCAATACAGCATATACTTATGAAAACCATTTCAATAACCAATTAAAGTGATAACAATCCAACAATAGATAAATCAAGTTTTAAATGCACACTAAATCTTAATTAATTCTATGACTCGTTACTCTATGTCTCTATGCTAAGCACCAATGATAGCCTACTGTGTATTCGTCATCCTCTGTCATATGGCAGCAAATTTCAGATCGAAGTATTTTAAAATTGTAAATAACCCTATAAATCAAAGAGCTATATTATGTCTTTGCTTAAAAGTTTTGAAGTCTGATGATCACATGTGTGCCTTGATGAAGTTGATAAGTCCATTTGTGGAGCCATCATGACTTGAAACTTTATCTTTTCCTCTCAACTCAGGCTGAATTACTTTTGCTAGCTGTTTTCCTAGTTCAACACTACAGTAAAAAAAAAAAGATATTACACATGTATTTTAAGAAAAAAATTGTTATACATATACAAAAGTATGATGGATGCATATAAATAAAAACATTCAAATTTATATAATTTAGATATTATAAATAACACCCTTGGTTTCAGAAATTTCTTAAAATCCATTCCATCATAGCGTTTAGAATATGAAAATAAAGATAACTTACCCCCACTGATCATAAGAGTTGATATCCCAGATAGTTCCTTGGACAAAGATCTTGTGTTCATACATTGCTAGAGGAAGTAAAATTATGACACGTTATTGAAAATATAAATAAAGAACAAGGAAGGTAAAAGACTGTTTTAGCCCTCTCTAGGTAACATTGGGAACAATGTAATTATCAAATGTAAATTGAATGCCAAAAATCACAGGAAAACAAACTTGGCCAATTTTTATAATATTTCCTAATTTTCATGAATTTTTAAACATATATGTATTTTGCTTAAGAAATTACAGAATGCAAGGAACTTCTGAAACCTAGACCAGAAAAAAATGTTATGCATTTTATAGTCTAGGGCCAGACACATCTGTTTGCAAGAATCAGACATAAACTCTATGATTGCAAAAGTGTAATGTGTCTGAAGTTTGAAAATTAATGCAAATTGAAAATTGAAATTCGACAATAATTCTAATTTTTAAACTTTTAGCGGCCCTTGTAAGTGCTATGAATTAAACTGAATAATGTTTCTGAACAAAGCATTATTTAAATTTCTTTATTAATGACTATCACAATTTCAAAATATGTTTGATTAAGGTGCCAAATTTGATCCTTATCATACATGTATATGTTCTTCATTCTTGAAAGGTTTTAATAACATTCTGGACTTCAAATTCTAAAATATTTTCACATCTAAAATTATTAATTTAAAATACATATGACTACATGTAAAATACATGTGACTTACCAATGAGAAGACCTAGTGTGAATGGAGTAAGTTTTTGGAATAGAATGGAGTTGCTTGGTCTGTTACCCTCAAAGACCTGGAAAAGAAATTTTTTTAGGTTTTAAATTGACCATACATTATATACATGTAGAAAAGTTTCTTCAACATGCTGATTTCATAATGTCTAATACAGTGAAAACTGTCTAATCCAACACCTGTGAAATCTGTTTAACTGTGAATTCCAACATTTATTTTCATTCCCATTTTTTTTTTACACTGGGTAATCTAATCTATTCCAACACAAAATTTGTCTCCCAGTGCATGTTGGATTAGACAGGTTTCACTGCACATGTACCCCAGTTGAAGAGGTGACCTATTTATTTGCTGACC